GAAAGAGTTGTAACTCAATCGATTTAACATTTATTTTTCATAGTGAAAACACAAAATCTTTAATGTTTTGCTCACGACTAATTGTCACACAAATAATTGTGATTTAATGATTTGATTTTTTTTCCCCAGTGTAAGTCTAATGTTAAATAAACAATATATCTAAAATAATAAAAAAATTAAGGATTTAAATAATGAATTACAAAAGTTTAACTAAATCCGCCACATGTGACTTTGTGATATTTATGAAATTGCTGTGGAAATCAATACTATTTATATAATCAAATCATTCATAATATATTGTAATATCCAGGGCTCCAGACTAACTTTTTGCCTTGGTTGCACTGGTGCGCCTCACTTTTTTATTTAGGTGCATTCACATTTTTCCTCGTCTCGCGTCGCCTTTAACGCCACAATTTCAAGGTCACCTTTTTATCACGCTCCATATACATTCATATATATTATGTAAATGCTTTTAAACAAGAATAAGGTGTAGTTTTTTATTATTATTTGAAGCACAATTATACTGTATATAAAAATATAAATCTTTTTTTAAAAAAAAATTAAAGTGCTGTTTTTACATTGTTCAAGTTAGGGTTGTTTCAATATTGATTATATTGGATATCAGGTACAATACATGGCACATTTTCTCAAGAAAAACAAATCTCAACTAATGCTGTAAACTGGGAGTCAGTTGTAGCCCACTATGCTTCATTAGCCTACTATAATATTGAAGGTAAAAATTACCTGATTTGTACACAAACACTTAAATTACACTTTTATTTATTTTTATATGAAATATAAACATTTAAATGGTGGCTGCATAAAAACTTGCCAGATTTTTTTCAAACAACATGCATTCAATATTGAAAAACATTAAAAATTATAATGAATATGTAATATGGTGCATATATTAGGCACAATGATCCTCTAGAGTTAATTTTTCTAGCTAGCTAACGAGTTTATGGTCACTGGATATGTTTTTTCTGAGGTAAATGTGACGTTACATGACATTGTTTACAAGCGTTTTACTGACGTCTTTCCATGGTTGAAACACTGATTGAGTGATTCCAGGTGAAAGATACGGATTTCGAGAAGTTGTACTCTATCTTTTAACACACTGATGTTGTGTGACCCTGATGTTGTGTGACGCTGATGTTGTGTGACGCTGATGTTGTGTGACCCTGATGTTGTGTGACCCTGATGTTGTGTGACGCTGATGTTGTGTGACGCTGATGTTGTGTGACCCTGATGTTGTGTGACCCTGATGTTGTGTGACCCTGATGTTGTGTGACGCTGATGTTGTGTGACCCTGATGTTGTGTGACCCTGATGTTGTGTGACCCTGATGTTGTGTGACCCTGATGTTGTGTGACCCTGATGTTGTGTGACGCTGATGTTGTGTGACCCTGATGTTGTGTGACCCTGATGTTGTGTGACCCTGATGTTGTGTGACCCTGATGTTGTGTGACGCTGATGTTGTGTGACCCTGATGTTGTGTGACCCTGATGTTGTGTGACACTGATGTTGTGTGACCCTGATGTTGTGTGACACTGATGTTGTGTGACCCTGATGTTGTGTGACGCTGATGTTGTGTGACCCTGATGTTGTGTGACCCTGATGTTGTGTGACACTGATGTTGTGTGACCCTGATGTTGTGTGACGCTGATGTTGTGTGACCCTGATGTTGTGTGACCCTGATGTTGTGTGACCCTGATGTTGTGTGACCCTGATGTTGTGTGACCCTGATGTTGTGTGACGCTGATGTTGTGTGACCCTGATGTTGTGTGACCCTGATGTTGTGTGACGCTGATGTTGTGTGACCCTGATGTTGTGTGACCCTGATGTTGTGTGACCCTGATGTTGTGTGACCCTGATGTTGTGTGACGCTGATGTTGTGTGACCCTGATGTTGTGTGACCCTGATGTTGTGTGACCCTGATGTTGTGTGACGCTGATGTTGTGTGACCCTGATGTTGTGTGACCCTGATGTTGTGTGACCCTGATGTTGTGTGACCCTGATGTTGTGTGACGCTGATGTTGTGTGACCCTGATGTTGTGTGACCCTGATGTTGTGTGACCCTGATGTTGTGTGACCCTGATGTTGTGTGACGCTGATGTTGTGTGACCCTGATGTTGTGTGACCCTGATGTTGTGTGACACTGATGTTGTGTGACCCTGATGTTGTGTGACACTGATGTTGTGTGACCCTGATGTTGTGTGACGCTGATGTTGTGTGACCCTGATGTTGTGTGACCCTGATGTTGTGTGACACTGATGTTGTGTGACCCTGATGTTGTGTGACGCTGATGTTGTGTGACCCTGATGTTGTGTGACGCTGATGTTGTGTGACCCTGATGTTGTGTGACCCTGATGTTGTGTGACGCTGATGTTGTGTGACCCTGATGTTGTGTGACCCTGATGTTGTGTGACGCTGATGTTGTGTGACCCTGATGTTGTGTGACGCTGATGTTGTGTGACCCTGATGTTGTGTGACCCTGATGTTGTGTGACGCTGATGTTGTGTGACCCTGATGTTGTGTGACGCTGATGTTGTGTGACCCTGATGTTGTGTGACGCTGATGTTGTGTGACCCTGATGTTGTGTGACCCTGATGTTGTGTGACGCTGATGTTGTGTGACCCTGATGTTGTGTGACGCTGATGTTGTGTGACCCTGATGTTGTGTGACCCTGATGTTGTGTGACCCTGATGTTGTGTGACGCTGATGTTGTGTGACGCTGATGTTGTGTGACCCTGATGTTGTGTGACCCTGATGTTGTGTGACGCTGATGTTGTGTGACCCTGATGTTGTGTGACCCTGATGTTGTGTGACGCTGATGTTGTGTGACCCTGATGTTGTGTGACCCTGATGTTGTGTGACCCTGATGTTGTGTGACGCTGATGTTGTGTGACGCTGATGTTGTGTGACCCTGATGTTGTGTGACCCTGATGTTGTGTGACCCTGATGTTGTGTGACCCTGATGTTGTGTGACGCTGATGTTGTGTGACGCTGATGTTGTGTGACGCTGATGTTGTGTGACCCTGATGTTGTGTGACGCTGATGTTGTGTGACCCTGATGTTGTGTGACCCTGATGTTGTGTGACGCTGATGTTGTGTGACCCTGATGTTGTGTGACCCTGATGTTGTGTGACCCTGATGTTGTGTGACACTGATGTTGTGTGACCCTGATGTTGTGTGACGCTGATGTTGTGTGACCCTGATGTTGTGTGACCCTGATGTTGTGTGACCCTGATGTTGTGTGACCCTGATGTTGTGTGACCCTGATGTTGTGTGACCCTGATGTTGTGTGACGCTGATGTTGTGTGACGCTGATGTTGTGTGACCCTGATGTTGTGTGACGCTGATGTTGTGTGACCCTGATGTTGTGTGACGCTGATGTTGTGTGACCCTGATGTTGTGTGACCCTGATGTTGTGTGACCCTGATGTTGTGTGACGCTGATGTTGTGTGACGCTGATGTTGTGTGACCCTGATGTTGTGTGACCCTGATGTTGTGTGACCCTGATGTTGTGTGACCCTGATGTTGTGTGACGCTGATGTTGTGTGACCCTGATGTTGTGTGACCCTGATGTTGTGTGACCCTGATGTTGTGTGACGCTGATGTTGTGTGACCCTGATGTTGTGTGACCCTGATGTTGTGTGACCCTGATGTTGTGTGACCCTGATGTTGTGTGACCCTGATGTTGTGTGACCCTGATGTTGTGTGACCCTGATGTTGTGTGACCCTGATGTTGTGTGACCCTGATGTTGTGTGACCCTGATGTTGTGTGACGCTGATGTTGTGTGACCCTGATGTTGTGTGACCCTGATGTTGTGTGACACTGATGTTGTGTGACCCTGATGTTGTGTGACACTGATGTTGTGTGACCCTGATGTTGTGTGACGCTGATGTTGTGTGACCCTGATGTTGTGTGACCCTGATGTTGTGTGACACTGATGTTGTGTGACCCTGATGTTGTGTGACGCTGATGTTGTGTGACCCTGATGTTGTGTGACGCTGATGTTGTGTGACCCTGATGTTGTGTGACCCTGATGTTGTGTGACGCTGATGTTGTGTGACCCTGATGTTGTGTGACCCTGATGTTGTGTGACGCTGATGTTGTGTGACCCTGATGTTGTGTGACGCTGATGTTGTGTGACCCTGATGTTGTGTGACCCTGATGTTGTGTGACGCTGATGTTGTGTGACCCTGATGTTGTGTGACGCTGATGTTGTGTGACCCTGATGTTGTGTGACGCTGATGTTGTGTGACCCTGATGTTGTGTGACCCTGATGTTGTGTGACGCTGATGTTGTGTGACCCTGATGTTGTGTGACGCTGATGTTGTGTGACCCTGATGTTGTGTGACCCTGATGTTGTGTGACCCTGATGTTGTGTGACGCTGATGTTGTGTGACGCTGATGTTGTGTGACCCTGATGTTGTGTGACGCTGATGTTGTGTGACGCTGATGTTGTGTGACCCTGATGTTGTGTGACCCTGATGTTGTGTGACGCTGATGTTGTGTGACCCTGATGTTGTGTGACCCTGATGTTGTGTGACCCTGATGTTGTGTGACCCTGATGTTGTGTGACCCTGATGTTGTGTGACCCTGATGTCGTGTGACCCTGATGTTGTGTGACGCTGATGTTGTGTGACCCTGATGTCGTGTGACCCTGATGTTGTGTGACGCTGATGTTGTGTGACCCTGATGTTGTGTGACCCTGATGTTGTGTGACCCTGATGTTGTGTGACCCTGATGTTGTGTGACCCTGATGTTGTGTTACCCCGATGTTGTGTGACCCTGATGTTGTGTGACCCTGATGTTGTGTGACCCTGATGTTGTGTGACCCTGATGTTGTGTGACCCTGATGTCGTGTGACCCTGATGTCGTGTGACCCTGATGTCGTGTGACCCTGATGTTGTGTGACGCTGATGTTGTGTGACCCTGATGTTGTGTGACCTTGATGTTGTGTGACGCTGATGTTGTGTGACCCTGATGTTGTGTGACCCTGATGTTGTGTGACCCTGATGTTGTGTGACGCTGATGTTGTGTGACCCTGATGTTGTGTGACCCTGATGTTGTGTGACCCTGATGTTGTGTGACCCTGATGTTGTGTGACCCTGATGTTGTGTGACGCTGATGTTGTGTGACCCTGATGTTGTGTGACGCTGATGTTGTGTGACCCTGATGTTGTGTGACCCTGATGTTGTGTGACGCTGATGTTGTGTGACCCTGATGTTGTGTGCCGCTGATGTTGTGTGACCCTGATGTTGTGTGACGCTGATGTTGTGTGACCCTGATGTTGTGTGACCCTGATGTTGTGTGACCCTGATGTTGTGTGACCCTGATGTTGTGTGACGCTGATGTTGTGTGACCCTGATGTTGTGTGACCCTGATGTTGTGTGACCCTGATGTTGTGTGACCCTGATGTTGTGTGACCCTGATGTTGTGTGACCCTGATGTTGTGTGACGCTGATGTTGTGTGACCCTGATGTTGTGTGACCCTGATGTTGTGTGACCCTGATGTTGTGTGACCCTGATGTTGTGTGACGCTGATGTTGTGTGACCCTGATGTTGTGTGACCCTGATGTTGTGTGACCCTGATGTTGTGTGACCCTGATGTTGTGTGACCCTGATGTTGTGTGCCGCTGATGTTGTGTGACCCTGATGTTGTGTGACGCTGATGTTGTGTGACCCTGATGTTGTGTGACCCTGATGTTGTGTGACCCTGATGTTGTGTGACCCTGATGTTGTGTGACGCTGATGTTGTGTGACGCTGATGTTGTGTGACCCTGATGTTGTGTGACCCTGATGTTGTGTGACCCTGATGTTGTGTGACCCTGATGTTGTGTGACGCTGATGTTGTGTGACGCTGATGTTGTGTGACCCTGATGTTGTGTGACCCTGATGTTGTGTGACCCTGATGTTGTGTGACCCTGATGTTGTGTGCCGCTGGTGTTCGCAGGAGTGTGATCGCGCCCATGCTCTCCCGGCACGGCAAGCTGTGGTCAAACTTCTGGGGCGCTCTGAGTCCCGAGGGCTTCTACTCGCGCTCCGAGGACTACATCGACATCGTGCAGAGCAAGAGAGTGTGAGTGTCTTTCACCGTGTGTGTGTTTATCGGTAGAGCGAGTGTGTTGTTGTTGCAAATGTCGACTTTAGCTGCTCTGTGTCGTCTTGTCTTAGACCTCAGTGTTGTCTTCTGTACATCAGTGTAGAGGTGAAAGGTAGAAATATAAGTGATTTAGGGGGAAAAATAAGATTTATTTTCACCATCAGCCCACAAGACAGATTTGACGACTGCTAAACATCTTTATTTCTACAATACAGACCGTTTCAGAGCGGCTGCGTCGTTATACACAGGGAAGATATTACAGTGGTCATGTTGTCAAATTCATCAATGTCAGATGTAAATCAGCTCTACAGAACACAATAGAGTTATTATTCAGATCAAGAATTGTCCGTGTTGCACAATTAATCAATTATGAACAAATTAAATTCAGTTCAGTTTGATTCAATTTAGTTCAATAACAGTTTCAATGTTGCAAAGTTCTTCAATTGTGAAATTGATTCAATTTAGATTCAATTTGATACAATTTTAGTTCAATAACAGTGTCAATGTAACAGTTCATCAATTATGAAACAAATTTGATTCAGTTCAATGTTGATTCAATTCAGAATAATAACAGAACGAATTATGCAAATTTCATCAATTATGAAACAAATTTGATTTGATTTGTATTCAGTTCAATAACAGTGTCAGTACTGCAAAATTCATCAATTATGAGCCAAATTCAATTCAGTTCAATGTTGATTCAGTTCAGTTCAATAACAGAATGAATGATGCTAATTTAATCAATTATAAACTGAATTCAATTTAGTTCAGTGTTGATTCAATTCAGTTCAATAACAGTGAATATGTTGCAAAATTAATCAGTTATAAAACTAATTCAGTTCAATTTGACTCTGACCATGTTATTGAACTGAATTGAATCAACATTTAAGTGAATTGAATATGTTTCTTAATTGATGAACTTTACAACATTATTCAGTTCAATAATATGGTCAATGTTGCAAAGTTAATCAATTAAGAAACAAATTCAATTCAGTTCAATAACAGTCATTGCTGCAAAAATCAATCAAAAATTCAATGATGATTTGATTCAGTTCAACAACAGTCAAAGTTGCAGATTTCATCAGTTATGAAACCGATTCAGTTGAGTTGAGCAGTGTCAGCAGCTCTACAGGAGACGATAGTGCCAGTATTGAGATCAGCTCAGTGTGGGTCATCTGATGTCCTGCTGTGTTCCAGTGGCCTGTGGAACGTGCCCTACATCACTCAGGTGTATCTGATCCGCGGAGAGACCCTGCGCTCGCGTCTGGCTGCCGTCTCCCTGTACCAGCAGGAGGGCATGGACCCGGACATGATCTTCTGCAAGAACGTCCGTGAGCAGGTGATCACATTTACTGCATTTAGAAGTATACAAAATATAGATTTCATATGAAAATATTTTTCATAACAATAAACCTACAATTTTTGTACTTTTTTTTTAAAGTTTAACTTTTTTTCCCTTCAGCAATAAAAAAAAGAGATCAAACTTCAGTCTGTCGCTCGAAAGCATTCGAGATTTACCACAGATTAAGTAGGAAATTAAATTTTCAGGTCTATGCTCAAAAAGTGAATAAATGGATTATAAATAAAGCGTAACTATAATGTAGTTCCATAAAATCCCCTAAAAATACTAAATATTAAGGCGAGACACTACAGGTGAATAGGGTAATTTTTTTTAACTAGCAGATATCACCATGAATCCTTCCCAGTTGATTGCCTACATTAAGAGGAGAAAAAAATGTATTACAAGTTTTCTGTAATTTAATGTTTAAATATGCAAATTAGGCATTATCTAATTAAAAATTCGCTAATTTGCATATATTTAAAAAAAAATGAAATCTGAGTATTGGATAAAGCCAGGTTCAAAATAGTTTTTTTATTGTGTTCACATACTAGATGGATTTATGGATATCTACTTTTGTTATCCTGTAAAATCAGAATATACTGTCAATGGCCTTAAAAAAAGATTTTTGCCATGTTTTTTGGAATAAAATGTTATATAAATCAGGTTAGGAATAATATATTTACAAATCCCTCTGTAAATGTCTTCATAATATAACTAGATCCTAAGACCTAAATGTGTATTTCTGACTTTTTTTCACCACAAGTCTGAAAGAAGACATGTTATTGAAGACAAATATCCCAAAATCTCAAATTTGACCAGTGAAAAAAAGTTTTTGCCTGCCGTCTCGCCATAAATAAACAACATTATCGAACTAAAATATAGTACATTAATTTCATTGAAATAAAAAAATTAATTCCGGTCATTTTTGACCCGCACACGAAGACACCCGAGATTTTTTACTTGAGTTTGGAGCTGTTAGAAAACAACGGTGTGAAAATAGATGATTTTGAAGGTTATACCGATGACGATCCACATCCCGTGTGTGTGTGTGTGTGTGTGTGTGTGTGCTCCTGCAGGGCATCTTCATGTTCGTGTCCAACAGGGATGAGTTCGGCCGCCTGGTGTCCTCCACTAATTACAACATCAGTCGCCTTTATCCAGACATGTGGCAGATCTTCGACAACCCAGTGGTGAGAGACTCCGACGTCACACACACGTAGGGTTGGGAATCGGATACTTGTTATAAAATTAGAACTTATCGATTCCTTTCAACATGAGTGTAAATCATTGGAGCGCGAGACTGTGTGTATCAGTGTGTTGGACCCGTGCAGCTCTTAAAGTGACAGCGCTCATATTCCCGCCGTCTCTATAATAACACTGATCACACAACACAAGACAGAGAACACTCACTCGCTCTACACTGAATAACTTTATAACTATATTTGTAATGTATAGTTATTTATAAAGTGCAGTTATTTTAGTTTCTGAACCTGAAAATCTTAAAACACTGTTTATTTCAATCGTATCTGTGTTCAGTTGTGTCTATTTGTGGCGATTGCTAATGTTTTATGTGTTCTTGTGTAATAACTGAGTGTTTATTGTGTGTAATAATGCTGAAGTGTGTATTAGTTGTTCTTCTCTGGTGTGTTTTAAACCTCAGGCAAACGCTGTGTGTGTAAGTGTTCTTCAGCTGATGATTTCTGCTCATGATATTCAGACACAGTCACAGCTTTAGCAATAAGACTAAATGTGAATGATGTCTAAGTTTTTTTAAAAATCTTATTGGAATCGAAAAGCAGAATCGAAATTGGAATCGTTAAAATTCAAACGATACCCAACCCTACACACACATCAGTAGACAAACCCGTGAGCGCACACTAACCCTGTGTGTGTGTGTGTGTGTGTGATCTCAGGACTGGAGAGAGAAATACATCAATGAGAACTACTCCAGGATTTTCGAGGACGAGGGGGACGTTGTGGAGCAGGTGAGTCTGCATCTCCAGCAGGGCTGGGGTAAACGATTATTAATTAAACGATTAGTCTGTCGATTATTTTATCGATTAGTCGACTAATCTAACGACTAATTGAACGATTCTTTTTTGTAACATGGAAATTGCAGGAGTGCACATTCAATGCACAACAATTTTGATCTAGTTCTTACAGAGTATCTACACTGTAAAATGTTTGGTAGGCTACTCAAATGAGCCCTATCACACTTGGATGTGGTGCTCATTTTAATGTTTTCAGTGCTCATAAAAAACATCCGGACTGATTTTTCGGTTTTGTTGACGGGGGTGGGGTTTACATGCGCTTCATAAGGCACACACGCACATTTGCACACACACGCGCAAGGTCTCTCGCTCTCTCCCTCTCTGCGCGCGCTACACGGTTTGACCTCGCGAGCTCTAGATTCCGGGAGATTTTAACTAATTTGCGGTCATCAGGGAGCCGCTATCACTATGCGGGAGACTTGGGATGTCAACTCCATTTGACAAAGAGCGCAAATAACGACACCTTTACGTTTGGGGCTAAATTTGAAGTATTCCCATACCTTCGATGATTTAGTGCGAGCTGGGGTTTTTTAGGACTTTTTCTTTTGTTGGGACTTTTGCATGGCTTTGTTGTGAATTCTGTGAAGAGGTTGCTGTTTCGTCCTCGATTCTGCAATGTTTCGGTCTCCCACGTGTGTGTGGCGAGCTGTACCGCCGGGAACGGTGCAAAAAAAAAAAAACATAAATAAATAAAGAAGCGTCGACAAAAAAATATGACGTCGACTAATTTTTGACGTCGACGCGCCGCTACAGGCCTAATCTCCAGCAGTCTGTTGTTGTTTGTCTCTTCTGTTTCTTTTCCAACGGTGACTCGATGTTTGCTCGGTGTCGCCACTGATGAGCGCATGTGAGAGGATTCATCATGAGTGTGTGTGTGTGTGTGTGTTTCAGCCCTGTCCAGACGTGTACTGGTTCCCAGCGTTCTCCGAGAGAATGTGTGACGAGCTCGTGGAGACCATGGAGGATTTCGGCGGATGGTCTGGAGGAAGACACACGGTCAGTGACCTCAGTGTGTGTGTGTGTTACTGAGAGTGTGTGTGTGAGTAACTGAGTGTATGTGTGTGTGTGTGACCCAGCAGCTCATGTGTGTGTGTTTCTCTCTCAGGACGAGCGGTTAGCTGGAGGTTATGAGAATGTTCCCACTGTTGATATTCACATGAATCAGATCGAGTACGAGAAAGAGTGGCTGAAGTTCCTCAAAGACTACATCGTTCCTGTGACAGAAAAACTCTACCCAGGGTACTATCCGAAGGTGAGACACACACACACACACACACACACACACACGCATACACAGACACACACACACACACACACACGCATGCATACACACACACACACACAGACACACGCACACACACGCATACACACACGCATACACACACGCATACACACAGACACACACACACAGACACACACACACAGACACACACACACAGACACACACACAGACACACACACAGACACACACACACACACCTGGCCTGAGCCATTCATTTGCTGCCCATATTTATATTTTTACATTGTAAGTATTTTTATGCAAGTATGCATTGGATTACTGCGTAATGTTAATTCACAACATGTTCTTACTATAGGGGTAGGGTGGGGTTTAGGGTTAGTTGCATGTAATTATGCAGAATTATTGTTTTTACTGTACTAAATGTGTGTAACAAAGACAATGTAAAATAAAGTGTTACCTTATTTTTTAAATAGGCTTTTTATTTGTTAAGTTACATTACATCAGTTTGATTCATTTTGGAGTTTGATTCACTGTTTGTTTCAATTAATGAACTGAAATGAATCAAATCAAATATTGAATTGAACAAAGTAATATATATATATAGGTAATACATCTCTAGGTAAATAAGGCAGTGTAAATATAAAGGAATATATTTGATTGGAAACATGAATATTTAAACTTGATTTCTTTTTAATTTAACTATTTTGAATCTTCTTATATTCAACGACTGCTGCTTCCTCTGATTCGGGGGAAAAACCACAAATTGACCTTATTTGGATCATTTGGAAGCAGATTTATCCTCCATACTCACCAGCAACACACACTCTTGTGTTTCAGGCTCAGGCTGTGATGAACTTCGTGGTTCGGTATCGCCCTGACGAGCAGCCGTCGCTCCGTCCGCATCACGATTCCTCCACGTTCACCATTAACATCGCACTCAACAGCAAAGGCGCCGATTATGAGGTAAGCAGGACTTCCAGTGACTTCTGTCGTGTTTAATGGAGTGTGTCGACCCATAAACCCTCACACCGTGTCCTAACCAGACGCTGTCCACACCAAGGTTATTTTCAGAAACGAAGACTGAAACTAATGGTCCAAAAACATTGCGTAAACTGAAATAAAATAGAAATTTCAGCCCTTTTGCAAATATACAGCTGTACTGCCTGAATCCCCGTCTCATGTGACACTTGATGATAGACAGGACACCGCACTGAGCTGACAGTGGAAACACACGAGCATCTCTAGCCCACAAATACACATATTTTCAGAGTAGAAGTAAACTAAATGTCTGGTCTGAGTAGAACACCTGAATATGAGTATATGATATTAAAATATACAATAGACGAAAAGCATAAATGGATCAATACAAGAATAATATTTTGAAAGGATTAATCATAGAAATAAGCATAAAGAATAATCATATTTTTTTTTTCTTATACACCACGTTTAACAAGATTTCATCTTTACTATGAATGAGTATGTAATTTTTACTTTTATACATTTAAGTTACATTTGTTTGGTTCTTTGTTCAATCTCAAACAATTATTTCATTTTTATTATTAAGAGGTTTGCACAAATGTTAACTGTAAACATTAAACTTTGCTGAAATTAAATGCCTTTTTAACTGGAAGTGTTCTGTTAACTCTGCTAAACTATAGGGCTGTAACGATACACCAAACCCATGATTCGATTCGTATCACGATTTTTGACCCACGATTCGATTCGTATCGCGATTCTATCACGGGGGCGGGGCTTGAGGGGGCGGGGCTTGTGGTGGAAAAAAGAGATTTTGAGAGAAGAAAAAAAATACCGGTATTTTTATTAAATAACATTAGGAAAACCTGTATAATCTAAACACCAAAGAACAATAATAACTATGCAAATTATTATACTATACTAAATCCCCCCTTAGATGATTCTCATGGGGGGGATTTTTTTTGTTTGAGGGGGAGAAAGGGGGGGCATTTTTTCCAAACAAAATTATTACATTTATCTTGCCTAAATGTTTGCGCTCATTGCATTTTTACAATGGGGTAATAGCCTATTGTTGTTAAGAATTTACACATCACAAGGAAGCTTGATTTAAATTGTTTAATTAAATTGAAAAAAGTAGCACAAATAAATACAATAGAATAAAGATACAAATAAAGACAAAGAGAAAAGTTTTTGAATAGGTCTAACACTAGTATTCATATACAGATACTGAATAAAGTAATCAAATGGAAAATAACACTGGGTAGTATTTTAGTCCTGAATAAATTAAATATATATAGGCTATTAATCCTGATTCCTTTAACTTAAAGCCATCTTTTGTTGTTTTGACAACAAAATTAATGACAGACACATATGGCTGCCGTCACTTTAAGAGCTAGTGCACGGATCCTGTGTTCATTATACTGGCATGCGTTTTATGCTTATTAAAGACAAAACCGACTATATTTAGAGTATAGCCTACTCACAAAGACCGAAATTGACAATTTTGCGTGTTAAAGCAATATAATCTGCGAAAAATAGTTACTGGCCAGCTGTTTTTGAGGCGGATTTTCTATGAATGTGCGATAGAAAATAATCTCAGAGAGCGCGCGAGCACTGGTTAGTTTAAAATCGCTTGAATGTTTAAACTGGTAAGACTTAAAAAGACTTCAGTCACGATGCACTGCTGGCCCGATTGTGCAAGTGAATATTCCGTCATGTCCCGACCTTACAGTCTATGGTCCCGACTCCAAAACGCGAGTGTGTATGATCGCCGCAGCGCTTGATGCCTGCCTTGCACAACACATTATGAGAAGAGATAGAAGACGCGCGCGGCACCGCTGAACACTCACGCTGTTTGTGAAATTGCGTCTGGAAGATAGTTGTTAAAAGAATGATTTGATTTTATTATCTGTGTGGATTACGATTGCGGGAATTTCCCGCATTATAAATGGGAGACCTGCGGGAATTAGTAGAATTATGCACCCGCAATCCCGTGCCGAAATTCGAGCCCTGGTTCTGGACAGGAAGGATAATTCTGGGAGTTGGAAGGGGTGTGATCGCGATTCTGCCTTCTCACATCGCGATACAGGATCGTGGACCTGAGTTTCGCGATTTCGATTTTATATCGCGTATCGTTACAGCCCTAATAATTAAGAAAACTAAAACTGAAACTAAATATATAAAAATTCAATAGAAATGTTCACAAAATAAAAACTAATCTAAAACTAGGAAAAACCAAATAAAATACTAAAAATAAAATAATGACTAATTTAAAAATGCAAAACTATAATAATTTGATAATCAATCAAATATTACAGCCAATCAGAAGAGTGTGTGGGCGGAGTCTCTCTGTAGTCGCGCTGCACTCACAACCACATCAATCAAATATTACAGCCAATCAGAAGAGTGTGTGGGCGGAGTCTCTCTGCAGTCGCGCTGCACTCACAACCACATCAATCAAATATTACAGCCAATCAGAAGAGTGTGTGGGCGGAGTCTCTCTGCAGTCGCGCTGCACTCACAACCACATCAATCAAATATTACAGCCAATCAGAAGAGTGTGTGGGCGGAGTCTCTCTGTAGTCGCGCTGCACTCACAACCACATCAATCAAATATTACAGCCAATCAGAAGAGTGTGTGGGCGGAGTCTCTCTGCAGTCGCGCTGCACTCACAACCAAATCAATCCAAAATCACAGCCAATCAGAAGAGTGTGTGGGTGGAGTCTCTCTGCAGTCGCGCTGCACTCACAACCACATCAATCAAATATTACAGCCAATCAGAAGAGTGTGTGGGCGGAGTCTCTCTGTAGTCGCGCTGCACTCACAACCACATCAATCAAATATTACAGCCAATCAGAAGAGTGTGTGGGCGGAGTCTCTCTGTAGTCGCGCTGCACTCACAACCACATCAATCAGATATTACAGCCAATCAGAAGAGCGTGTGGGCGGAGTCTCTCTGCAGTCGCGCTGCACTCACAACCACATCAATCAAATATTACAGCCAATCAGAAGAGTGTGTGGGCGGAGTCTCTCTGTAGTCGCGCTGCACTCACAACCACATCAATCAAATATTACAGCCAATCAGAAGAGTGTGTGGGCGGAGTCTCTCTGCAGTCGCGCTGCACTCACAACCAAATCAATCCAAAATCACAGCCAATCAGAAGAGTGTGTGGGTGGAGTCTCTCTGCAGTCGCGCTGCACTCACAACCACATCAATCAAATATTACAGCCAATCAGAAGAGTGTGTGGGCGGAGTCTCTCTGTAGTCGCGCTGCACTCACAACCACATCAATCAAATATTACAGCCAATCAGAAGAGTGTGTGGGCGGAGTCTCTCTGCAGTCGCGCTGCACTCACAACCAAATCAATCCAAAATCACAGCCAATCAGAAGAGTGTGTGGGCGGAGTCTCTCTGCAGTCGCGCTGCACTCACAACCACATCAATCAAATATTACAGCCAATCAGAAGAGTGTGTGGGCGGAGTCTCTGTGTAGTCGCGCTCAGAGCCATAGAGAGAAAGAGTTGCGACACTCTTTGATGTCGCCGGGACGGCTGTCACGTGGTTCATGTAAATCATTTGCACAAATGTTAACTGTAAACATTAAACTTTGCTGAAATTAAATGCCTTTTTAACTGGAAGTGTTCTGTTAACTCTGCTAAACTATAGGGCTGTAACGATACACCAAACCCATGATTCGATTCGTATCACGATTTTTGACCCACGATTCGATTCGTATCGCGATTCTATCACGGGGGCGGGGCTTGAGGGGGCGGGGCTTGTGGTGGAAAAAAGAGATTTTGAGAGAAGAAAAAAAATACCGGTATTTTTATTAAATAACATTAGGAAAACCTGTATAATCTAAACACCAAAGAACAATAATAACTATGCAAATTATTATACTATACTAAATCCCCCCTTAGATGATTCTCATGGGGGGGATTTTTTTTGTTTGAGGGGGAGAAAGGGGGGGCATTTTTTCCAAACAAAATTATTACATTTATCTTGCCTAAATGTTTGCGCTCATTGCATTTTTACAATGGGGTAATAGCCTATTGTTGTTAAGAATTTACACATCACAAGGAAGCTTGATTTAAATTGTTTAATTAAATTGAAAAAAGTAGCACAAATAAATACAATAGAATAAAGATACAAATAAAGACAAAGAGAAAAGTTTTTGAATAGGTCTAACACTAGTATTCATATACAGCCAATCAGAAGAGTGTGTGGGCGGAGTCTCTCTGTAGTCGCGCTGCACTCACAACCACATCAATCAGATATTACAGCCAATCAGAAGAGCGTGTGGGCGGAGTCTCTCTGCAGTCGCGCTGCACTCACAACCACATCAATCAAATATTACAGCCAATCAGAAGAGTGTGTGGGCGGAGTCTCTCTGTAGTCGCGCTGCACTCACAACCACATCAATCAAATATTACAGCCAATCAGAAGAGTGTGTGGGCGGAGTCTCTCTGCAGTCGCGCTGCACTCACAACCAAATCAATCCAAAATCACAGCCAATCAGAAGAGTGTGTGGGTGGAGTCTCTCTGCAGTCGCGCTGCACTCACAACCACATCAATCAAATATTACAGCCAATCAGAAGAGTGTGTGGGCGGAGTCTCTCTGTAGTCGCGCTGCACTCACAACCACATCAATCAAATATTACAGCCAATCAGAAGAGTGTGTGGGCGGAGTCTCTCTGCAGTCGCGCTGCACTCACAACCAAATCAATCCAAAATCACAGCCAATCAGAAGAGTGTGTGGGCGGAGTCTCTCTGCAGTCGCGCTGCACTCACAACCACATCAATCAAATATTACAGCCAATCAGAAGAGTGTGTGGGCGGAGTCTCTGTGTAGTCGCGCTCAGAGCCATAGAGAGAAAGAGTTGCGACACTCTTTGATGTCGCCGGGACGGCTGTCACGTGGTTCATGTAAGCGCCAATAGTTCCAAAACGTACGCGGGCTGTCATGTTCTTCTATGGACAGACAGC